ACTTTGGGTGCAGCCTGTAGCCCATAAGCACAGTACACCGAGGCTATCCTATAGTTATAGAATTTTTTCTTTAATAATAAATAACTATAAAGCTTTTAATTTTTCAAAACTTTTTGACTTTGGAAATAACACAGCTCAAGACATAAGCATATGGGGCTGGGGATGTGGCTCAAGCGGTAGCGCGCTCGCCTGGCCTGCATGCGGCCCGGGTTCGATCCTCAGCCCCACATACCAACAAAGATGTTGTGTCCGCCGAAAACTAAAAAAATAAATATTAAAAAATTCTCTCTCTCTCTCTCTTAAAAAAAAAAAAGACATAAGCATAGTACACAGTGCTACAAAACTATTTTATCCTTAAGTATTCATTGTATAAGCTTTTTCTGTTTACAAGGTTTCAATTTTATTTATTTTACTTTCTAGACTTTCTTTTTATTAAAAATAAAGACACAAATACACACGTGAGGGGGCTGGGGATGTGGCTCAAGCGGTAGCGCGCTCGCCTGGCATGCGTGCGGCTCGGGTTCGATCCTCAGCACCACATACAAACAAAGATGTTGTGTCCGCCGAAAACTAATAAATATTAAAAAAAAAAATCTCTAAAAAAAAAAAAGAAAAGAGAGAGAATTTAAAAAAAAAAATACACACGTGAGCCTAGGCCTCACAAGGTGAGGATCCTCAGTGTTACTGTCTCCTGTCGCTGCCTTTGGTCCCCTTGCAAGGGGCAGTGGCATCTCCTGTGACATCATGGCCTCTGTTCTTCTGGAATTACCTCCTGAGGAACCCGTCTGGGGTTGTTTTACAATTAACTTTTTAAATATATGAGTACAGTCTAAAATAATGATTTAAAAGTATAGTAACTTGATAAGCCACTAACAGCTGTTCACAACGGTGTCCTGCGCTGGACATATTGCTCGGGCTCTACTTTTATGTGACAAGCAGTTCAGGGTTGTCCACACCAGCACTGCCACATACATGTGGGTGATTGCTGCTATAGGACCTTGGGATGGCCACAGTGTCACTGGGTACTAGGAGTTTCCCAGCTCCATTAACATCTCACAGGTCCACTGTCATGTGTTCAATCCATCCCAATTGAACCCTCTTCCTGCACTGCCCCCCACCCTCTGACTTCAGGGGAAGGCCCAATGACTTGGTTTGGAGGCCAAATCCAGAAGCCTTAACCATTTCTCATACCTCCTCATTCTCCAGAAGAGCAAAAGGGAGGGAGAAGGGAGTGGGTGTGAGAGGAGCATGGGGAGGAGGAGGGGGGAGGATCATGGGGAGGAGGAGGGGGGAGGATGAGGGGGAGGAGGAAGGGGAGGAGGGGGGAGGAGGAGGAAGGGGGAGGGAACAGGCTTCATTTCTCTTGGTTTCCTGAGACAGGAACTCAGACCCTGCTTCCCAGGTGTGCATCTGAGGTAAGGTAAGGTGGGGTGCTGACTTCCTAGGCTTGTCCTGGGCTCCTCACACAGGCCTTGCCCCTGGAGCTCACTGAAGGCCACCCCAAAATGAGCCATATGGATGCAGGGAAGGCCAGATCTACAGAAGGTGACGCCATAGCCCCGAGATGAGAGGACTTGTCCCGGGTCACACAGCCAGTTGGTGTCAGAGCTAGACCAGGACATGAGGAGTGGGTCTGTTTGCTCCTGACTCGGCCCTCCAGCTCCCACCCTATGGCCTCCCACCATTCCTTTCTGAAGCCCCTCCCACGGAAGCCACAACCAGCCTGCTCCCTTCTACTTGATCCCAAGAAAGCCTTTCTCCTGTGCCCGAGCTGGGGGAGAGCTCAGCAGGACCGAGTTGTCATGGCACAGGCCCTGCTGTAATGCCCATGAAGCTCAGCCTGCACCGGCAAGACAAACAAGTGCTGGGGACCCAGAGACCCTTGGCCACCTCATGCAAGGACATCCGGGGATGCTAGGTGGGAGGGCTGCCCTTCTTCATGTGGACCTCAGAGAACCCACTCACACTCCCCACAGGGCTGCCTCCAGGAACACAGCCAGTCTGCTTAGAACATTTGCTTTTTTCAGCTTGGGCTTTATCTTGGAATAATGAACTCCATAATAATGAGCTCCATAAACAAGACAGCACAGCGGGAGGTGACATCCTCCAACATTCACCCTCAGCTCCCTTATGGTGTGGAAGTGCCAACCTGCAGACGCGTTCTGGGACTCTAAGGCCGCCATGACTGCACGTTCTGGAAGTGGTCAGCTACGTCCATCCCATCTCCCTGTGTGCCCCTCCCCATAGGAAATCTGGCTTCTCCCAGCTGCCCACTCATCCTCCCACGTGTCTTCTCTGCATTTTTTCCAGCTATTCAGTTGCCACACGAGTGTGAAGTGCTGCAGCTTCCACAGCAGATGTAGATGGGCCCCACTGAAAAGACTCCGTCCTCTGTTTGTGTCCAGTGTTTTCTGGCTTCTAGAAGTTCCACTGTCACCTTCACTGAAATACCAGCCTCTCCCTCAGAGCAAAGCCTGTCCAAGGAAGGGGCGTGATCCTTGTCCTTGGAAAGACCCACAGAGCACTCCTAGGCACATTCCCACCCTGCAGAGTTGTTTATCTACAAATAACAGGAGAGATCTGCTGCACCAGGTGTCCCTGACTCAGGCTAGGTGGGGACCCATAGCAATCCCCTAGCAGCCACCAATCAGCATGAGACAGGGAAATACCTGGGATGCCAGATGACCCTCCCAGTAGTTTATGGTGGTTGATAACATTTTGGGAAACATTTTGAAGTTCTGCATGTACTCCCCTCTAGCTTAAACCAATCAGTTCAAACGAATCCCCCTCTTGTACTGACCAATCACCCTTACTCAACTTGTTCCCACCAGTGAATGTGCTAATCATATTTTAGAGTTGTTTTATGATTTTTCCCACAGTGTGTGATGATTTGCTAAGAGTTGCTATAATGTAAGTGAAGTCCCTGCCTTCCCCAAAGAGTGTATAAAACTGCTGCAAACCCTGGGCTCAGGGCCTCTCAGCGTCACCAGTTGCTGTGTGCACACAGAGACAGAGCTAGCTGGCAATAAACAACTCTTTGCTGCTTACATTGTTCTTGGTCTCTGATGGTCTTTTGGGGGTCCCGAATTCGAGCATAACACACTCCATTGCGATTGGTACTTTCAAACCCATCACCCCGGAGGTAGGTTTATGGTGGCTGCACCTCCTCCCTATCATGAGGGGACCTCTGCACCTGCTCCACAATGCAGACCATCTGCTATGTTGCTCCACTTTTATAGAAAACTTCCTGTGCCTGATTCCCACCAGGCTTGGCATCTCCAATTTTAGGAGAACTTTGTGTGCCCTGTCAATGTGGGAAGTTTCCCTTGCATCCTCTTATTCATATTACTTATAAGCCATCAATAAAGGCTTATTTGCTTATTTATTTGTTTATTTATTTTGTGATGGGGATTTAATCCAGGGGCACTTGACCACTGAGCCGTATCCCAACCACTTTTTATATTTTATTTATAAACAGGGTCTTGCTGAGTTGCTTAGGGCCTTGCTAAGTTGCTGAGGCTGGCTTTGAATTCTCAATCTTCCTGCCTCAACCTCTCGAGCTGCTGGTATTATAGGCGTATGCCACTGACCCTGGCATAAAGACTAATTTTATATTTTCTCTTTTTTATACTCTTTCCTACATAGGCCCAATCTCTGGTCCTTATCCTACTTCTGATCCACAATTAAAAGGGGTTCTGACTTATTTTGTTGTGTTTGGGGTTGACTCTTGTCAAGAGACTCTTGACGTACTTAAGAAAAGGCATCCGTTGATTTCCCCTTGTCCATATCTTTGTGTGTTGCTCAAGCAATGTTAACCTGCAAGTCAGGGTGAGTTCCCCTTAAAAATCCTCCTTATTTTTTGAACACATTAGTAATTTCTGTAACAAGCCCAACATTTATTAAGAATCCACCCACAAGATGTGGGCTGGCAGCAGTCCTGCGCAGCTAGTGCCCCTCCCCTGCCTCACTCCAGCTTTGCTTAGGAGCCTCGATCGACGGTGGACGCCCACCCAGCCTGCCTTGGTAGCTACAGTTTATATGTTTGGAGAGTTTTCCACTTTTACCTTTGGGCTCCTTCACACTCTGAGACATGGCATTCTTACTAAATGATGCAAGTCCACCTGGTTTTGCAAATCAGGGGGTCGAATTAAGGCCAAAGCCCTAGAAACATGTCCATCAATCAGGCATTTGTTGTTGCAGTGATAAGGGTTGATTGAGAAGCTCAGCACAAATGTGTTCTGGTGACTCAGGGTTCCTCCTGAACCCATCAAAGTCCTACAGGGGAATCAGAAGTCGGAGCCAGGTATCATCCTGTGAAGTCTGAATGCCCTGGGTCACGTCATTCTTCCCCTCTCCCTACCCCTGGTGGACCTCTGCATCCTGTCTCTGCTCCATCTCTCCCATTATCCCCCACCCAGACCTGGAGCATCCGAGCCTCTTTGGACTTGAACCCAGGAATACTAACATGCACTATGGTTTTTGGACCATGTATTTCTTGTTTGTCCAAATAGCTGAGAAGCAACTTAGGATGGATGCCACGTCTCCCATCTCTTTGAAACTTCATCCCCCAATAACCACTTCAAAACGATAGCCAAATGTTGTAATATTTATGGCACCTACTGCATTTGCCCACACACTCTCTTGCTACAAAACAGCCTCTGGTTGGCCGTGTCTGAATTGGGTAATCACTTATTCATGCACAGGTGTGGACAAGGCCTTACTCTACTTCTCGTATGGGGAAATCCACATTGAGATTTCAAGGCAGTTTCTGTTCACTTCTTCCCATGAGATCTTGGTTCCAGTAGAATGTCTGATCTATCCTTTACCTACTTTTATTTCTAAGACTCTAAGAGATTGAGGAAAGATAGAATACACACAGGTGATTATGAGACTGTCAGCGACTGAAGCACAAGAGAAACTCTCTTCTCTCCATTAGATAAGAATAAAATAGGGAGCCCTCGTTAGTCACTGGGGATAAAGTCATTCTAGCAGTGTATAGGTTTAGCTACAGAAAAAAAACACTCCATTTATTAAAAAATAAGCAGCAGTACAATATTGAGGATAGCTTCTCAGCTCAGCACGGGGAATGTATCCAGGAACAGAGGCCAAAACTCTTTTAATTTGTTGGGAATACGCCAGAGAAAATCAGAGAACAGATACAACAGGGCTTGTCAGTCACCCCTCTGGTTTCAGGAGCACGCTGCTCGCTGCCACCCCCGGGAAATGAGTCAGCCCTTCCCAGAGCTTCTCACAACTCGAGTTCAGTCAATGCCACGGATGCTCTGTCCTCCCACAAGAGCTGGACACCTGTGGCACTGAAGCACAGAGGGAGAGTTACGCACGGCACCCAGGGGAGGGGAGGAAAGGAAACGCCCAGGGGAGAGGAAAGGGAAGCCCAAGGAGCAGCACAGGGCCGTCAGGCTCCAGGGGCAAAGGCGGTTCCTGAAGCCCAAGCCTCCTGGATTCACCTGTGACAGGGCCCAGGGACACTTCTGCTGCTACTCCTCACTGTCAGGCTCCTCATCGCTGTTCTCCCCCAGGGGAAATTCCTTGGTGGGCTTCTGGGTGGCGTAGGTCCGGGTCTCCAGGGGACAGTCCTGGCTCAGAATAGCCTGTAGCAAGTGACAAGAGAAATGACTACAGATCTTTGAAGATCTCCCCTTTCCAGTTTCCCCACTAGATCACCCAAGTCTAGCACAGCTTAGGAAAGCCACCACACCCTCTGTCTGCCTCCCAGGGTAGCCAGGCACATCAACCGCAGTCAGGAGAAGCATCTGAGAGTCTTGTAACTGAATCCTGACGTCATTAATGCAACATACAGCAGGAAATTGGCTGAGGTTGGCAGCACCCTCCAGCAAAACTTCCTGTTTACTTTTGTTAGCCTCCAAAGGTATCCCCTCCCACGCAGACCCTCGGGGCACTCATGCAGCCAGGAGAAGAAAGGACCTTATTGACTAAGATCATATGGTGTGGACCTTTCTGTACTTTCAAAGCAATGACTTGATAATGATAATGGCAGACTAAAATGAATGCACGTGCTGGGTAGAATTCTGCCCAATGAGGGCAGAGATAACATGGTAATTGTTATGGTCTGGATGTGAGGTGTCCCCTCCCCCCCCAAAGTTCCTGTATGAGTCAATGCAAGAAGGTTCAGAGGAGAAGGGATGGGGTTGCAAGAGTCTTAACCCAATCAGTGAATTAGCCCCCTGATGGGGTTAACTGGGTGGTAACTGAAGGTGATAGGGTGTGGCTGGAGGAGTTGGATCCCTGGGGGCATGACTTGAGGTATATATTTTGTTTCCGGTGAGTGGAGTCTCTCTCTGCTTCCTGATGACCACTGTAAGCCACTTCCTGGCGCCATACTCTTCCGCCATAATGTCCTGCCTCACCTTGAGCCCCAAGGAATGGAGCCAGCTGTCTAGGGACAGAGACCTCTGAAACTGTGAACCCCCAGGTGAACTATTTCCAAGTTTTTCTTGTCAGGTCTTTCAGTCACAGCAGTGAAAAAGGTGACTAAAACAGACATGGACATCTTGCTAGTAACTACCCTAACCACAGGATGCCACCCAAGGTCCCCTGCTCCCAGCTTTTTGTGAGACTCTTTGTGAGTTTGCCATTTTCTGTTTTTTACTTAAGATCCTTCTCGACAGCCAGATAGCAGGCTTAAGAGAAGGGACAAAGAAGGACACAAAGGAAAGATGGTTACATAAAAGGAGGAACAAGAAAATGTGGCAAAGCAGAGAGACGATCAACAGAGGGAGGAAGGGGCAAGAGGTGGAATAGGACAGGAGAGACTTTAGGGAGAAACACGCGTGCTTTTTTTGTTTTGTTCACAAAGCCTTACAAGCTTCTCCTCCTTGGCTGGGGGGCTGCGCAGGAAGTAGCAGAGCGGAGCATAGCTGATGTTGATGAGCCCAATGATGACCATGAGCCAGGGGAAGCCGATGGCCCTCACGATGGCACCCCCGGTGGACGGGCCTGCAAAGAAGAACTCAAATTCACAAGAGTCGCGGAGCCTTTCTCGCCCGTGGGACGCTGTGCTGGGTGCAGTGGGGGACCCAAGGACATCACAGTATCAAACAGCCTCGCACCAGCTGGACAGCAGCCAGCTGGCTCCACCTCTAGTGCATGTGTGGGAGGAAAAGGAGAGGGGGACACCCACATCTGGGCGCTGCCCTCTCCCCCATGCTACACACCTATGGCAAAGCCCACACAAAAGGCCACGTCGGCGATGGCGTAGACACTCCCGTACACTGAGGTGTGGCGCAGGTCCACCAAGTGCCCCATGATGGGCATCAGAGAGGAATCCACCATGCCTGTGACAAACAGGACACTGTGGGTCAGCAACACCCCCAGTTTTTACATCCCCTCCTCTCCTCCTAGTCCACCCTGGGCCTGTTGAGGAGGCCATGGTGGGAATTATGAACCCATCTCTGGGTCCTGGCAGCTCTTCTCCTGCTCCGTCTGCCTTTCCACCTACCTCCTCTGGTGAGACAAGGAGGAGGAGGAGCAGCCACCAAAGCCAACACCAGGGGCGTCTTGCCTTTGAGGGCACTTACCTATGGCAAAGCCAAGGCCTGCATTGGGGCCAATGAGACCAAAAATACTGTGGGCCAGAGGAACCTGCAAGAGGAAGGAGGGGGACGTCATCAGCACCCCAGCCGGTTGGCGAGGAGGGTGCAAAGGGTCTTCACCTGAAATGCACTTATCAAGCGTGTGCTTGTGCCACGTGTGTTAGCTCCTCGCGAAGGAGAATTTTCACCTCCATTTTAAAGACACAAAAACGGGCCTGGTACCATTTGATTACAGAGCTAGTAAACAGCCACGATCAAGGTGGACCTCCGACTCGGCTCTTTAGACCATCACAGTGGTCCTTTTCTGTTGAGGGACTGTCCCTCCTCATCCTTTGGCCTTCTCTACCCAAACACACACTCCTGTCCTCATTCTCCACTGAACAGAGTTGCCTCTCTTTTCCATGACAGACCCATCCACAGGTGCTATTTAAGTAAGTAACTAGGTGGCCCCTGGAGCAAGCAGAATCCAACAGCCCATGAGTGGAAGGAACAGGTGGCATGGCTTGGGTACCACATCAGCAAGCTGGGAAACTCACCCTCACCGCCCGCTCAGCACCCCTGAAATCCCTTCTTTCCCTTTTTGAAGGTTCCTGACACCTTCCCTGGGCACCCAAACCCACCATCCCAGCACACTCACCCTCCAAAGGCTTAGTGTATCATTTAGACATTTGCAGCTGGTAACATCCGTAGGGGTGACACCCCAAGAGGTGTTATATTTACCAAGAGTATTGGTTAAGATTCACGGGGGGCTCCATGCTTTACAAGGATCACCTCCACCACCTGTGAGATGCCATCAGAATCCTCTTGGGACAGATGGGAATACGGAGCAGACAGAGGTGATGCAAGTAGCTCAAAGCCAGGTGGGTGGCGAGGTCGAGATGGAGCCTGAGCTCACCATCAGGACCATCAGCCCGTCCTGAGCACAGTGCCCGGAGCTCCTCTGTGCTCATCTGAGTCCAGAGACCAGTGTACTTATGGTCTCCATTGGGGACAGGAGAAAATGTGGACTGAGAGCGCCTGACAGGAGCTACTGAATCTGAAAAAGCCCTTCTTCCTTCCATCATCTACCAAATATTCTGGAGCAGAGTCTGAGGCACAGGCAATGGTTGGCTGTGACCTCGTCGGGGGACCCGTCAGGGTGGGCTGAGTGCAGGAAGTCATGAAATGCACCGTTCGCTGGCTCCAGATGTGGATACCGGCATGCCTCACTTCGCTTGCTCTCTCCCAGAGGCGTGGCCTCCTGCTGCCCTCTGCCCTGGCCTCCTTCCCGCCTCCCTTCAATGGCAAGCCACTTCAGATGGTGGCATCGCCCCAGGGCTAACTCCTGCCTACTCAGAAACAGCTTTTTTGACAGCCTTTGCCAATCATTTTGAAGGAAATGGTCTTGAATTATCTGGCTCTCCCTCCCTCCACAGGGCCTCCTTATACTTACACACAGCAAGCTGGCGCCGACCACCACCATTCCCACCAGGGAGCACAGCCACCTGGGAGGAAAGAGCCGCCATCAACGGTGCTCAGGGGAGGGGTCCCTGCCACCCACCACCCGAGCCCTGCATACCGGCCAGCCCTACCCTCCCTAAACCCAGCAGCCCCTTGGGACGTGAGAAGGCAGGTGCGTCTGTATATGACCCAGTCTGTCCCTGTCCTTTCCTTGCTGTGTCTCCTCCCTGGCTCAAACCCCTTTCCACAATAGAGGCCCGGGGGCAGGCGGGGACCTGCTGACTCAGGAGGCGCTCAGCAGGCAGCCCTGGTCTCCTGCTGTGCACCAGTTCTCAATGCCTCCTGCTCTTCGATTTCATTTGGCCTCACAGATCCATCTCGAAAATCACTCATCTCCTATCCTATTTTATTTGGTCTCAAACATTCATCTCAGTAAATAAATAAAACACGAAAATATCAATTTCTTTTCATCTCTAATTTCCCGTGTCAGTGTTTTTGAATTTATTTCAAAAGCCTGAACTCCGAAGATCACTTAAAGCTGTAACTGTTGCTCCTCGCAGTAGAGAAACAGAATTGGGGTTTCGACTTCTCCACTCCCGATCCCGTTCCCTGGGTGGCTTCTGAGGCTTCGCTGTAGAATTCCCTTGGGGTTCCCTGGAGCACCTTTGACAACCGATGCAATGCCCCAGCTGCCCAGTGGCGAGTAAGGGCTCCCTGTGTCCCGCTGTCTCTTCTAGTGAGAACTCAGGATCCCCTCTCTCCATGTTGCCCCCACTGCCACCCATCCCCCACCCTCCCCGGGTAGTTTTTATTGCTCTGTGCTTATCCTAATTTTCAATCTCAGAGAAGCAATTCCTCCTCCCAAGCACAGGGACAGCCTCAGGGGGCTCTCCCATCTCACATTCCTATCACTCTTCCCAGATCCCCGGGCTACATACCGGCCCATCTTGTTGGCCAACACACCAAAGAGGTTGGTGCCGATGAGGTAGGACACGCTGGCAGGCAAGAAAGCTAGACCTGCAGAAGGACACAGAGCCTCACCTTGGAATGTGCTCAATTCATCGAAAACATCTTCTATCCTACAAGACACCGACGTCCCCCCTGGTGCCTTCCAGGATTCCCAGACCACTTTGTTTTATGGTTGGAGATCCATATATAAACCCAGAGTAGAAGTTGTAGAACCCACATTGCTGTCCTCCTCATGAGCAGGGCTTCCTGTTTGATGATACTTGGCTCCTGCATGGGTTCCTACCATCTGCCATGGAAGCCCTGGAGAGCCAGCACCATGCTGTTCAGACTCAGCTTCCAAAACTGTGAGCTAAATAAGTCTCTAAAGTCAGCCTGCCTCAGGCAGTGTGTCACAGTAACAAAAAAATTCACTAATACAGGAGATAATAATTCTTACTGGACGGGCTAGTTTTGAAGTATAAGGGAGATATTTAGGGGAGATTAAGCACTTTACACAGTGCCTGGAATGGACGAAGTGCCTTATGAGCACCAGCCTTAATTATTATCAAAAAGTCCGTGACAGGGTCAGGACCTAATCCATGCTTCTCGCTCCAATGTTGGATGTTCGCATTCTCCCACCCTACCCATGTGGCAGCAAAGATGACTCTGGTGTAAGGGTCTGCTTAGAATCAGCAGTGTGAGTTTCCTTGAGTTCCACCAACCCTCTCTGTACGTGGGCCTGGAGGAAACGCACACAGCCCAGGAGAACACATTCATTACAGCTAAACCCAAAGTCAACAATCCACCAGGTCCTAGCCGACAGCTTGTTTGCTTTTTTTTTGTTTTCCAGTGGTACTAGGTGCTGAACCCAGGGGCACTCTACCACTGAACTACAGCCCAACCCAGCTGCTTGTTTGCTTTTAATATTCTCTTCTGTGGAGTAGCAGTGAAGCACACCTTAGTGTATTTGCTTACTCTATCTGCACAGAGTGGCAATCTCTTTAAACTGTGCCTCTGTGTTTATATTTAATTGCCTTAAAAAAGTTTAGAGGTTATAACTACTCAACTGTTTATCTGATTGTTGAAACGGGCACTTCTGGGAAGCTCTCTGGCCTAGAAATAACCGCTTGGCATCATTGTAGATGGTGTGAAATCTGCTAAATGAGATTTTTCCCAATCTATGGGGCTTGCTTATTAGGACCGGCCATATCTCGCTTTGAGTTGCAGACAAAGTGCCTATCAACACAAGCTTTTCACAGCGTGCCTTCAAGGGATAGCAGATTACACACAGCTGTGACTATCAAGATGGTTTCAACCAAACAATGATGAAAATAATAGCAGTTATTATTGACTGAGTATATTCCATGTTCCATAAAGTGTACCTATCCTTAAAATGATTACACACCTCAAAACAACTCTAAAAATTATTCCCACCTTTGCAAATGAGAAAAGCGGAGATCAAAGGGTTGAAATAACTTACCCAAATGACAATTAATAAGTGGTCAGATCAGAATTCAAACCCAAGTGGACATGTTTCTAAAGCCTGGGTTATTTCCTGCACTTGGGGACAGTTGCTAGCACCCAATGGATCCCAAGGCAAAGACTGTGTCGCATCATGATCAACAAAGTTGTCCCCTTTGCTCCTCCCAGAAACCTGGAGAGCTGTTCCTCATGTAGAACAGAGGTTTTGGGAGTGTGATCACTGAACAGTTCACTAGGAGCACAGACTCGTTTTTCCTGACCTGCTGGCCAGCACCCAGCAAGCCCTCCAGGTACCTCCAATGTCATCACAGGAGAACTTTGAAGTGAGACTTTACAGATGCAGAGAGCACTAGGAAAAGCTGTGGGAGATGCTGGTAAATGGTGACTGAGTCCCTGGTAACTGAGACTGGTAACTGGGTTGCTGAGGAAGGACTTCCTCATGCTGTCGTTGCTCATGGGTACCAGTAGCCTAAGTGGCCAGACCCTAAGCCTAGGGGGGCATTATCTGCACTGAACACTGACTAACTCAATTAATTGTCATGGTCAGAAGCAGTTTCAGCCCTAACAAAATTCAATTTGGCCTAGGAGTGCAGCTGGGAACCCTGCTTAGAACTGTCCCCTTAACAATTAGATTTAGTGCTTTCTGTTGCACGTTGAGCTGTACCAGGCTCTTATCAGCTTCCCCTCGGGCCCCAGAAGCCTCTCTTCCCTGCAGTGACTGAGTCATCTGCACGTAGCAGTCTCTGTCCCCTTTCCTCAGGCTTTCCAGAAAGGGCTGGAGCCTTAGAGGAGTCACAGAGTCTGGCCCCAGAGCTTTCCACGCGGATCCAGAGCTGAGTACCTTCCCCAGGGGCCAGCTATAGGTCATCCTTCTTGAGCATCATTTTAGAGATGGAAAAAAACATCAGCAAAGAGGGGTGGGGAGTGGAAGAGAGGAAGTGTGGGTGGACGTGGTATCGTGTGTTGTGTACAGGATAAGACAGCCCCACACCTGTCATTTATCCCTACAGTCGGTGTGGATGGCAGTGGCGGTGCCTATTAAAATTGCCCATGGGACAAAGCATTTCTACACCTGAATCACTTATTCCTCCAATTCCCTCTAAACTAGATAGTTACTTTCCCTTTCAACTAGAGAGTTATTTGACACTTCAGAGGTGAAAAAGGGGGTTTGCACAGTTTATACAGCTAATCAATGGAGCTGAAACCAAACACCTAAGTCTTTGGACTTCATTAATATTTATTCATTCCAGCCCAGAGCTAGGAATGTGGGCTCTCCAGAGTCTCCTTGATCCCTTCCCCCATGTCCTTTCTTAGGCTACTTTTCTGAAGAATTTCCCACCCACTGAGGCCGATTCATGGATGTGGACATGGAAGGTAATTCTGTGAAGGAAGCTCATTGTCCCCCCTGAGATGTTAATGACCTGGACTTGATGATGCCTTTTGGTTACCTGTGGAAGGGCCCACAGCACTCATCTTCTGCCCAAGCCCAAGGCGGGGACCAGGTCACTTACCTAACTGCCACTCGGGGGAGCACATGGTCTGCATCATCCAGATGGGCAGGGTGGGCTCCAGCATGGCCACGCCCATGTTGGCAAAGCAGATGGAACCTGGCAAGGCAGGCGGTTCTGTGGGCCACTGTGCCCGAAGCCCAAACCCTCCCAGCTCTGAGGGAAGCCATTGCCGCCTTACCTGCCGCCACCAGGATATAAGGGTCCTTGAGAAGCATAAGCAGTGGGGTCCCTTTGGCACTCTGAGGACAAGGACGACAAGAACTTCCATTGGTCCGGTGTTTACCTCCCTCTCATTCTCACAGAAGCTGAGAATGTGCACACAGGACCTCAGAGACCATCTATCTCGACCCCTTCTCTGTGGAGATCTGGAGACCCAAGTCCAGGGAGAGAAAGCGACCTGCCCAATGTCACACCGTGAGCGGGAGGCAGAGCCTGTGCTGTCCCACGTGCAGGGCGGGGCCTGATGGGAGTCACAGGGAGTGGGGCAGCACACTCTAGATGTGACCCCTGCCTCCAGATGACGGTCAGGCAGGTCAGGGTCAGTGGTGGCAGGGGCGGGGTTAGACAGCAGGGGTTCCAGGGCTTCTCCACTAGATCCCCCTGGCACCAATGTTTGCCCAGAACCACAGGCAGAGTGCTCCATCCCACTCTGCATAAAAACACTACCTTGGGGGACTGGAGATATAGCTCAGTTGGTTGAGTGCTGGCCTAACATGCACAAGGCCCTGGGTTCCATCCGCAGCACCACCAAAAGCAAAACAAACCAAAAACACTATCTTGACTCCTCCAGCTGTCTGAATTATTCCTTTCCACCATTTTGAGCCACACCGGACTAGGAGCCTAAACATTGGGGTTAAAACACCAGCCCAAATGACCAGTTCTAACTTCCCTTTCCCTCAAGATGTACCTTGTCCCGGCCATACTTGGCCACCCCACTCTCCTTCCATGCATCCCAGCTGCCCGCCACCATCACTGCTGTCTTTGCTTCAACTACCTGGTTTCTCAGTTCCAGGGTTCCTCGTCCTACCCACTCTTCAAAGTCAAGCTCAACTGGCTCCTCCTTTCCCACCATGTCCTCTACTCAGCAGCTGAAACTTCTCCCTTTTACAAGCTTCCTGAGCATTCTGTCCTAATCTCCTATGGTGCATACTGTAGTCGATCTTGTAAGAGATCTGAGAGTTTTGATATGATATACACAATGTAAATTAAATATAGAGACCCTAAAGTAGAAAGAGCATGTCCTCATCCCAAACATAGTTCAAAGAAACTGATGTAAATCATAAAAATACACATAAAGAAGTCCAATACACTCTTTTTTTTGCAAACACCCCATTTCTAGGAATTTAAAGATCACTGCCAACTTTCTAAAATGCATGCATATAAGGTTATTCATTGTAGCATCATCTGTAACTGCAAAGTACTGAAACCTACTTAAATGTTCCAAAAAGAAACAGAATATACAGAGTGGTGGACCATACAGCTTCAGAAGCAATGCAGAACTCTATGTACAGATGAGGAGTGGTTTTCAGAATACATTGTTAAGTGTGAAAGAGAAAGGAGAATGCAAAGACTATAGAGTACGATAACTTTTGTGTAAGAAAAATTGGAGATATAAGAGAACACACGTGAACTATTTATTTTTGGGAAAAATGCAAAATGCATAGGAAAGATAAAACTGAAAAACCAAGTGATTGCTCATGAGCAACAGGGTTAAAGAAGGGGAAGGGTAGAAAGCTCATGGAGATTGATATTAGAATACCTCTTTGAATCATTTTGACTTTTAGATGATATGTTCTTTACATTCAAAATATGAAATTGTGTTCATGTTATGGATGGAATTGTACCCTCCACCAACTCACAGGTTGAGCACAATTCCTTACCGTCCTATTCTAACATGAGGACTTGGAGGAAATAATTAAAACTCAATGAGGTTTACATGAGTGGAGTGCTGATCTGATAGGAGAAGTATCTGTGTAAGAAGAGGAAGGGACACCAGTGATCTCTGTCTCTGTGCACAGACATCAAAGAAAGACCATGTGGGGTCACAGTGAGAGAAGGTGGCCACCTGCAAGCCAGGAAGAGAGCCCTCGCCAGAAACCAACACATTCACCCACACGTTGATCTTGGACTTTAGCCTCCAGAGCTCCAGAGAGACTAAATGTCTGTTGTTTAAGTCACTGAGCCCATAGCATTTGTTATGGGCAACTCAAGTAAACTAACAAATTCACAAGAATGAAAAAAAAAACAACTAAAATCAAATGCAAAGAAAAACAAGTGGACACAACTGAATTTGAAGTGCACCACGCATCATATAATCACACTAAGGGTGAAAAAACTAACATAAAAATTTCTAATTGCAGTACTTTGGTCATATTCCCCACATCCAAGGAAAAAGAATTGAATGCTATCTTGAATGCTTTCCAGCAAGCTTGCTTTTGGGTGTATGGGTGTACAAACTACAAGCATTGTAGGACTGCATAAAAAGGTAAATGTCTGGACTTAGGGGGGGGGCACCAGGATTCTCTCTATGGAAAAGATTGAGGAAAGCAGTAAAAAGTGGAGTTTGGACTGGAGGCAGAGGTCTCAGTATGAACTCCTGTGGATATACCGGCTCTGTCACGGAGATGGCACAAAAACATAGCAGTGGGACACCAAGTGCCCATGTTTTGGTTTCTAAACACCATTCCCCATTAAAAGGAACCTGAGATTCCTGGAGAAATAGTTGATCCCAGGGCTAGGGGGAAGGGTAGGTACAAGATGAGCATGTGACATATACTTGTATCACAAAGCAAAAAATTACTCAAAAAAAGTCTGTGGGCGTGTTAAAATGACTTTGAAGCCAGTTTGAAAGTCTCTATACTTGCTAAATCTATAACAATTTGACCATCAAAATAAACAGAGATGGTTATGAACTACAAGCTACTGAATAAAATAAAAATCCATGAGTTCAAACTGAAAATAAGCAAAGAAATGAATTGTATATATATTGACATATAACGTGTATTATATGTAGTTGTGTATGAAGAGAAGAAGAGAAAAAAATGGCTATTTCTTACAGGAAAAAAATGTCAACTGATGATATGGGGGAATCAGTAAAATAGAAATGGCTACATTTTGCAAACATCATAGTAAACATTGGTTCAGGCAAGGATTATTGATGAAGAATAAATCTAGGGGGAGGTGATTTTTTGAGGGAGATGAGAGATTTATATGCTCTTACAGTGTTCCCCACAGGTTGTCAGAACAACATGAAAGAAAATAGCTACACATGGAACAGACCAGTCAGCTCCCTGACCCAGGGATGAGAGACCAGGATGAGAGATGAATAGGTGCCATATGACACTCTAGAGGAGACGGGCTCACTCAGGTGATGTGACAACAGAGGCTGCAGAGCCCACAGTGGATCATGAGGAAACAAAAGGCAAACCAAATTGAGAAAGATTCTAGAAAATAATGGTTGGTGTTCTTCAGAAATGTCAGTGTCCTTCCTCAGTCTATACCCAAAGGACTTAAAAACAGCATACTACAGGGACACAGGCACATCAATGTTTATAGCAGCACAATCCACAATAGCTCAACTGTGGAACCAACCTAGATGCTCTTCAGTGGATGAATGGATAAAGAAACTGTGGTATATATCCACAATGGAATATTACTCAGTATGAAAGAGAATAAAATGGAGAATATAATGCTAAGTGAAGTGAGCCAATCCTCAAACACCAAATGCTGAATGTTTTCTTTGATATAAGGAGGCTGATTCATAGTGATTGGTGGAGGAACATGGGAGGAATAGATGAACTCTAGATAGGGCAGAAGGGTAGGAGCGGAAGGGAGGGGGTATGGGGGTAGGAAAGACGGGGGAATGAGATGGACATCGTTACCCTAAGTACATGTATGAAGACACAAATGATGTGACTCTGTTTACAACCAGAGGTATGAAAAATTGTGCTCTATATGTTTAATATAAATTATGATGCATCCTGCTGTCATATATATATCAATTTAGAATAAAAATAATTTTAAAAAGTATAAATAAAGTCAAAATATTGCAAATAAGAAAAAAAATGTCAGTGTCTTGAAAGACTAAGGCTGAAAAACTTTTCTGGATTGTGACACAGGAATAATTCTGAGTCCTAACTGGAGGGAAAAAACCTGGTAAGAATAATGACAAATCAAAGCTGGACTGTAGATTAAAGTGCTGTAGCCACATCAAATCAATGGGATCCAGAATTCTACTGTCTCTACATAGGAAATATCCTTGTTCTCAGAGAAAACTCTGAAATATTAAGGGATAAGGAATCATATAAGCAATGTACTCTCAAATCACTCAGAAAAAGATCAGGAATAATAACAACAATAATAAGAGTGGAGAGAGAGAGAGAGAGAGAGAGAGAGAGAGAGAGAGAGAGAGAGAGAGAGATTGATTTTAATAGTTATGGTAAAATGTGAAGAAGCTGGGGATATGGGAGTTCTCTGCATTATATTCACAACTATTCTGTAAATTTAAATTCATTTCAAAATGAAAAGTTTTTGAAAGTCTAACGAAACTCTGGTAATTTTTTTGCCCCCCATCAAGTTCTTCCTAAAAATGTCCTGATGCCCTCTTCCCTGGTATCCCACGCCTGGTTACTTGTTTCAGGATTCGTCAGTCCCAGCCCCAGGTCCTGGTGGCAGTGGCAGAACCATCTGGACACGTGTCCCTGGGCCCAGGCAGGGCTAAAGCTGCCTTAGGACCAAACACATCCCAGGCCTGGGAGTCCTGGCAGAAGGTATTCCGTGTTCCTTGCTCTGAAGAGTTTCCCTCCCCAGCACCCAGACATTCTACCCCTACAGCCAGTTCCCAAAGGGTGACGCCAGATCTCCAGGTCACGTTGGGGAACTCTCAAGGTGCCAATTGTACCACAGTTCCAGATTTTTCCAGATGCTTCTCTGGTTACCTTCACTGTCTGTATCTATACAGAATGAGGCTAAAAATAGTCCATTATTTCCTGGACTTTATAAGATAAAGCAGAGACAGAGATCCTGGGACACAAAGATCATCAAGAACTTTTATGTATAATTATAATTACTCCCAGATTAGCTTGATGGACCATAGTTTGCAAGATCAGGTCTTTAGATCAGACTTTCTCATGCGCTTCCACACTTTGTTATTTTCCCTCCTGCGTGTTGAGTAATTCATCACAATATGATTTGATATTGATTTCCCAGACCATCTTTGGTTAGAAATCAGACAAACATCAACTCAGATATTTACTAACCGTGACAGAATGACAGTCTGTTAGGGATGCTCTTAGAGGAAGTCTTTTATTGGGGAAAGGTTGTCTGAAGGCTTCGTCTTCCCTATCTCTAAAAAAAGATTTCTTTGACTTTTTTTTTTTTTTTTTGGCACCAGGGATTGAACCCAGCGATGTTTAACCACTGAGCCACATCGCCAGCTCTTTTTATAATTTTATTTAGAGACAGGGTCTCACTGAGTTGCTTAGAGCCTCGCTAAATTGCTGAGGCTGGCTTTGAACTTGTGATCCTCCTGCCTCAGCCTCCCGAGCTGCTGATATTATAGGCATAATCTGTCTTTGGTCTTTTATGGGTCCTTTCTCCATCCTTGTCCAATTTTAGCCAGACTCTTTTGCGGTTGCCCATACTCCCCCAAATGTAACCCAGCCTGGGAGCCCAAGTACAGATCTCATTTTTCCTGACTTTGTTCCCCTTCACCTTTCTTCCAGTGGTTTGACAGGATGTCTGGGTCCCTGCCCCTGGCCCTTCTGTCTACCTCTGTGCAATGGAAGTCTGTGTCTACTTACTTCAGGAGAGACTTTGGAAGGCTTCAGGATGAAAAGTTGAAGCGCTAAGAAAGAAGAGGAAGAGAGACAGTGAATTCCCTTTGTTCACTCATTAGCTGGGGCTCCAATAAGAGCCACGTTGCTGCCACCCTCTAACTCCCTGAGTTTCTTCCCTCTTTTCTAGGATGGGGGGTGCCCTGGATCCATGTAAACACGTGCACACTGACCCCACAGCCTAAAGCACTCCTGTCCTGACCTGGGCTACCCCTGACCAGGGTCCTAGTGCTGACTTACCTCCATCCAACAGCGCCAGGAAGGCCAAGATGAGGAAGGGAGCAGGCTTCCCAACAAACTCGTACATCACACTTCCAAAGGGAGCGCCCACTGGGAAGGCAAAGCAGCACAGACCCCGGGAGTGAGCAACCTCATCCGCGTGCGCTACCCACCAGGGGCCAAACGTCACCTGGCTTCTGAGATTCAGACATGGAGAAGACCCCGTCCCTGTCCCCCAAGGAGCTCGCTTTAGAGTGAAGAAAATATGAAGGGCAGGTTCAAGAAATTGTCACTGTCAAGTTTGTCAGGAAAATCAGATGCACAAAGTGCTGTGCCAACACACAGGTCAGAAAGTCCTGGTGGCCACAGGGCCTTTGCCAAGTGCAGAGTGCCTCGTGGGAAAAAAGTATGCAAGAAGACCACAGAGTCGTCAGAAAAGAGCGTGTTGCTACAGAAGAGAGGGGAGAGAGTCGTTGTTGGTGTATGGGTGTTTGGGGACAGGGCGGGGTGGGGGTGGAGGTGGAGAAGGTTGAGGTCACTTTGTCACGAGCCCCAGGTGGTCAGATGAGGTGTCTACTGAGCTTTTTGATCTGGGGCTAAGCATCAGTTCCTTTCAATGGGAGAGAAACACACCACCGGTTCTGGGCTCAGGAAGGAGGGAACAGGAAAGAGATCAGGCAGGAGGCTGGTGCCATGTTCGGACCCAGAAAGGGTAAGGAACGGCCCTTGAAGTGGCAGCAGAGGGTGAAACGGGCCTGTTCATGTGACTGTGAGGAACGAGTCCAGTGTGCACCAGGTTTAAGGCTGAGTCTGGGGGAAGATGAGTGCTAACAAAGAGCAGGGCTTTGTTCCCTCTGTGGTTGACAGGATGGGGACAGGCTGGGAAGGAGACTTTTGGCATCTTCTCCTCGATGGGCTTGCAGCCTCCTGGAGGGCAGGACTCTGTCTGGGGTTCTTACCTATTGCCCACTGTTAGCGTTGTGCTTGGCATGTAGTATACACTCAGCAAAAGTAAGTGGCTTTGGACTAGGAGATTAAAACACGTGAAGGATGGGCCTCGAGGAACGCACACCTTGTGGCCTAGAGCCGGGGTTTGAAGTGCAGAAGATCTGAGGTTCTATCCTGGCTCTGCTGTTGCCTGACTCTATGACCTTGGATGGCTACTTAATCTTTCTTATCCTCAACTCTAACCTGGGGACCATTATTCGTCCTTCGGGTGGCAGTGAGGAATAGAGGAAATTATATCTGGGATGAATTCAGCAGAGAATCTGGGTGGGGAGAGCACACTCTCATGTTGAAAGCATGGAGATTCCGACATGGAGAAGTAGAGATGCGGCAGGCAGAGAAGGTCACTCACACGGGGAGGTTTGTTCCTTGGCCAGGCTGGCTTTCTGGATCTCTCTGAGGTCCTTATGAATGGCACAGCTTTTTAAAGATAAAGGAATGAAATCTTCCCTTGGTGATATTGGTTTTTGGGGGGTGGTATTGGGGATTGAACTCAGGGGCACTCGACCACTGAGCCACATTCCCAGCTGTATTTTGTGTTTTATTTAGAGACGGGGTCTCACTGAGTTTCTTAGTGCTTTGCTTTTGCTGAGGCTGGTTTTGAACTCTCCATCCTCCTGCCTCAGCCTCCTGAGCTGCTCAGATTACAGGTGTGCACCACCACGCCTGGCCCTACGTGATTTTTCTGAAGGAGTCCACCTGTGATTGAGCCAGGAAGAGAAAGGAAATACTCGCTCATCTTCCACAACCCAGGACACCTGCCTCCAAGGGTCTGCAGTGCTCCCAACCCTCCCGAACCCAGAGTTGCAGCCAGGTGCCACTTACCCAGCACTCCCAAAGCCAGGCCCCCCAGGGCAATTCCCATGGCTCGCCCTCTCTCGTAGTCATCAGTGTAGACACTGGCCAGCATCCCAAGACCTGAACAGAGAATGACAGAGGGAGTTGGCACCTGGGAGGGCTCTGTCTGCCTCTCTCAGAGTCCTTGGTTTCTGCTCTATCATGTCGTGACTAATAATCTTAGATAGAGTTTCAGTTTGAGGGGTGTTACAAAACTTATCCCATAGTATATTGCCAATACTGTCCCCCACTGGTCTCTCAAATGTCCACACTACTCATTCCTTCTGGGCATTAATGGAAATGCAAAGGCTTCTGGGAAGGGTGACACAGACCACCACTCTCTAATTGTGCCATATTTCATAGTGTTTGATCATTTCCTGGCCCATTTCCCTGCATGAGGGGGCTCTGGAGCAGGTGAGGGGAAGGAGCACCTATGAGCAGAGACTGTTCCACTCAACATTGTGCCCAAGGGGGGACGGGAAAATACCGAGCTCCTGGAGCACGGCCTGAGCTGGCAGGGCACAGCACCCACAGAAGAGCATAAAATATCAGCCTCACAGGATGCCATGAAATATTTGACAATACTTAGCAAACTCTGATGGTATTACAGGTGGTGTTATTATGACAGTTCCTATAAAATAAGGGAGAGAGAGAGAGAGAGAGAAAGGGAAACAAGGGCACTAAGTAAAAACCTGGCCTGTTTATGGTTTTACTTGGGCTTATTCTGAACTGAGCTAGCAGCATTATTATTGTATTATTCCAGGATGTTATGCCAGACTTAGGGATCCATGGCACTGCCAGCCACTCTGCAGCTACCTTGTTCCTGAATCACAATTTCTTCCTACCAGGATGAGGTTTTCCTTAATTAATTTTCTCATATAAATCTTAGAGTGATATTATAGTGTCTGAGTAAGAGGTGGTAGGAGATGTGTGTGTGTGTGTGTGTGTGTGTGTGTGTGTGTGTGTGTGTACACGCGCATGCGTACTGAAGATGTCAGCATTACCTGCAACAGATGAAAACGAAGATCCGATGCCTTGAAGGGTTCGGGCCACAAACAGCAGGGTATAAGTGGCAGAGAAAGCAAACACTGGGGAGAGAATATCAAGAATGCTCCAGTTAGCAAATTGTGTTTGATTCCCCAGCCACCAGACAACCTGCCCGTGACAAGCAGAGATGAGTCATTATGCATATGTTTCGAGAAAGCACGGTGATTTGGGCTTTCTGTTCTTGAAGTTGTCCTTCTAATCTCCCCAGCCTTCACTCAGGACTGATTTTTATTTTTAGGACTGATTTTTTAATTGGCAAGAAGACTGAGAAACCGCAGACGCATACCAAGTCACCACACAGAGCAGATGGAAGGCCTGGTCTCCACATTTCTTGCTGAGAGCTGCATCTCTAAGTCACTGGAATTAGGGATGTTTGTGAAGCCCAATGGCCTGGGCGAGGAACTGGTCCCTAGCTCCTACTTCAAAAGATGTTGCCTCCTCCATAACACCCAGATTCGGCCTTTGTCATTACTGGGCCACATTGGGTCATCTGGAGTGCTGTGACAGGAACTTGTGGACACATTGTAGACCACAGGATAGAAAATACCTTGTGATCCAATCACATCCTTCCCCCTATCTTATGTCAGAAGATCTTTTAACCAAATCAAATTAGTCTGTATTAAATATTAATAAATGCACAGACAGCTCTGCTAGACTCTGCGAGCAAATGTGAAAATAAAGAGAACATCCAGTTCACGGAAACTGAACCAAAGAGCAATAACTCATCCAAAACTAAATCACAGGGGGTTTATTAAAACAATGGAATATTATTCAAACTTAAAAACTAATGATGTGCTGATACCTACTCCAACATGGATAAGCCTCAAAAACATTGTGCTAAATGAAAGAATTCAGATATTAAGGGCAACATATCATAGGATTCCAATTGTTGGTAGTCAGGTTGGTAGATGCAGACGTGCCTCACCCTCGATTCCAGAACAGTGTCTCCTAAGGAGAGGAGAATCCCTCCCCAAGTGTCTGAATCAGAGAATGTTAATCCTCTTGCCCATTCATTATAGGTGTCTCTGGTTGGGCTTGTAATCTTCCTCAATTACTCCCCGACATGATCACACATTGTCTAGCAAACGCGCACATTCCTGGTGTCTCCCTTGCTGGCCTCTGGTGCCCTTTCTCAGACTTTCTGATTTCCAGTCCACAGAGTGGCCAACTGATTTTGATGTGCCCAGGACTTTCTTAGTTTTAAAACTGAAACTTACACTTTCTGGGAAATCCTTCAATCCTGGGCAAAACAGGATGGTTGCTCACCCCATTTAGGAAGATCAGAGTAACTTCCTTTCCTCTTTGCACACGGGCCCCTGTTTAGTTCCCAACAATTTTAAGCCTAGTTCCCTGACAGGGAGCTTGATGGGTAATAATGGGCATCAGAAACCTCTTTTTAGCATGTTTGAAGACCCTAAATGAGGCTACATAGGATATCCTAAACACCAAATATATTTTCTTTTGGCTAGAATTAGGCCAACTTAATTTGGCAACACTGGTGGTCGCATGGAAATACTCATTTCTATTTAATACGTATAGTTTGGTAGATATGAAAAACTTTAAAAATATGCGTGCTTATCAGAGAAGGAGGAAAGGACCTTATGCTAAAGAGTCTGGTTCCACTAATACACGACATTATATTATTTTGCTGCTGTTTGTCATGTCTCCCAGGCAACCACCATCTGCCTCTGGGGCTGGAACCACTTCTGTCGTTCTTTAAGTTCCATGATACATGTGCTCCATATGGTTTTATGAAATGAATTCGAAGTCTTATTGGATGACATCGTTTTTTAATTTGCTGTCCAGCAAGGACCAAGCTTTAGAAGTTCACTGGACACTATGAACTGTAATTTCCTCTTTTTTTTTTTTTTTGATTTAGAACAGCATGAGGAAGTTGTAGTTCTCAGGTGAAACTGCGTTTCTTAAGTTCCTGTATTTTGCAGTCTTCCTGCCCTGAATGCAACAAATTCTCATCAAACCTTGGTTTGGTAGGAGTCCAGTCCTATGCTGGGAGGGAAGAAAAGACGAGAAGGAGGAATAGAGAAAGATAAGTAACAGAAAGATAAGAAAATCAAGAGGGAGAAAAGGTTATATTGCTGGAGAGCAGGGAATTACTAAAGGTAGCAGGAGCTACCAGTGTGCTCACAGGCTCCCCCCCTCTATTAATCCCCAAAGGAGGATCCCCCATTTACTCCTTTTTATTTTTCATTCTCAGCATCAACTACTTTTCTCGCTTACTGTTTTTATTCCATCTGCATTCTATTTGGAATATTTAGCTGATACAGGATAGGCTCTCTAGTCTTCTCATTTATTTAACAAATTTACTTTGCTAAACCATAATCTTTATTGGGAAGTTGGAGACTTTCTGGAATTTTCCAATTACTATTTTCCAACTTTTTTTTTTTCATTAGCTGTGGCGTATTTTTCTTTACCATGGCATATTAGAATAATTGGATCTTTACCCAAGGCTGGGAGGTTTGCATGAAATTCACTGAAATTCACATGCATATGTGAATGCTCACATACACACACACACACACAGACACACAGACACACACACACTCACATTAATATATATTATACAAACAGCCATTATGATTTCCACTGATAAATGAAATATCTGTTCTCCTTCAGCAGAATAGACAAATTCCAGCTAGACTGAGTTGTCACTACTATCTTAGTCCCCATTCCAAAAATTGCAAAGCATTCAAATCAATGTCCCAGTCCAATTAGATGGCTAATTACCGGATGGGCTAACCTGACCTTGCTCTCTATGCTGCACTCACATGATAAAATCAGAGGTTTCAGTGAAGGGGAGAACAGGGGAAGCAAATTACTTACTAACAGTGGAGAGAAACATGATAACAAAGCCAGCGAACATGGGGATGTGATATCCAATCCTAAAAGGGCATAAACAAAAGAAGATACCATTCCAAAGGGCACTCACACACACATATTTTTTTAAATGCTAGTGGAAACAGAAGTGCGGTTAATTTGAGTTCGTGGTAAAACATGTCTCTGAATGCAAGAGTGGAGGTGGAATACAGCATGCGAATGACTCCATGCAAATAAACAAACATGCAAATTGACCTGCAGACTGAGGCCAAAACCTCTTCCAGAAAAACTCTATAGAGTGTATATCTCCTCAAAACATTGCGATCATCCCTCAAGTGACTAGGAAGCCATACTTTAGAGGGCATTAGGACTGTCCCATTCCCACCTGGGTCCTGTTCAAGCTATGTTCCAGAGAACGAAGGAACATGAGCTCTAATTGCTGCTCACTGGTTCTCTTCTTGGCCCTCAATATTCACTACATCACTAGGGAAATCAGAAGTTCACAATGTCTCACCAATAACATGTCATCCTCTGAGGCTTTGGGGTAAGTAGCTTTCCAAGGAGCTGATCCCCTGGGTCCCACAGTGTTCCTTCTTTTTTCCTTCTACTTACCCATATGAAACCTCTGCCCAGCCTGCTATTCCTGAGCCCAGGGGTACCCTGTGGGGTATGGCACCCACTGAGATACCTGTTGGTGAGAGGTCCCACAAATGGGTTGACCAGAAGTTGCATCAAAGCCTTTGAAGCAAACAGAACCCCAACCCGGATGTTCTCTTCCTCCAAGAACTCTGTGCCCTGCAGGCAGTTGTTTCTATGAGCTGTGTTGGCTTCGGTGACTGGAGGGGGCACAGTGCCAGAAGAGCCATTTGTCCAAGCTGTGCCCCTGGGTGCACTTTGTTCCACAGCTATGGTGATATTGTCAAAAAAGGAGAAGATGGTGGCGAAAGTAGGAAGGGTGAGGTCCGGCTGGGAACTCACAGAGAGGCTGGCGTGCCCAGAAGAGTTGACCTCTTTGAACTCCGTGGCATACAGGAAGGTGGGCACAATGGGCACTGAAAGTCAATGAAGACCAATCGTAAGGGTTAGGGACAGATTATCTTTTGCCACTACTAGGTTTAGGGATTACTTTAAGGTTCCGTTTTATGCCAAAGGAAGACATTTGTTAAGTGACATCCTTTAAGGTGAGCTAAAGACTGTGCCTGCCCAAACTGTGCTGTTAGCTAAGGGACCTGCATTCCAACCATCACGTCGCTGGTCCTCCCAGATTCATGGATTCTGCATGGGCCAATTTTCCTACTCACTGAGATTTATTTACAACCTGAAAATCAATACTAATTGAGCTATAATGATATCTTGCAGACCGATATAGATCATGAGGCACCCAATGTGCACGTTCTCACTTCAGTGAGATCTGGGACAGTTCCCTGGTACTTGAATCCCAGATCTGACAACTTTTAGCAGGCAGCCTCAGGCATATCATTTTATGCTTCTTTGTTTAAAAAAAAAAAAAAACTACCAGGATGCTTTGTTTTTAGGTTTTAAGATTATAATCTATGTGGTGGGGGAGGGGCTTGTGTGCTCATATTTCCTCCTAGGAGCAATGATTCAGTATTTGCTAATCCAGCACTTGTGACAGCTTTACAGAACATAATTATAACCATAAAACCACAAATAATGAGAATTGACTGCATTGGATTAGCCACTTGTCTCAGGAAGATTCTTATTTAAAATAGTATATTTTACCCAGGGGCAACAAGTTAGTAATATTTATACCTTGGTACAATATAACATAAAGATTAAGGGAGTATCATCTAGAAAAAGAAAACTCTGAGGGAATGAACTGCAAGAAGGGTAGGGCTTGATAGAAGTTGAATGTCCAAATGTCGTGTGCCATTTTTAAAGGACAGAGCCTAGGGAGGCATGGCTCCCAGAGACAGGATGGGGAAGCAGAGGGAGGCCACTCTGGTTCCAGGACTTCCTCCTTTCTGGCCAGACACTCCCTCCTTCTCTTTGAACCTCTGGAGTCATTAGAAATGGCAGGAAGACTTGGTTACTGTAGGCAGTTTCCCCCGGCCCCTAGCAACCTCTATATGTTTTCCCACCAGAAAAATAAGTCCACTCACTGCTGAAATGGAGCAGGGTGTGTTGCCTAGTGGGGTCCAAAGCAAAATAACTCTTACCCTGGAGACCCCCAAACGTACCCACCACAGTAAGCAGCATGTTGTCCAGGAGCAGGGCGACAAACACCACCACAAGCACCAGCTGCCGGGACCCTCTGCCTTCCTCCAGCAACCGCTGAGGAGCATCCAAGACCGTGCTAAGCATGGTGGGGCGGGGCTCGGGGCTGGGGATGGCTTCTCCTCCAGCTGCTCAGAGGCACCTGCCGCAGCCCTGCAGCCGCCCTATACAAGAGGAGGAAATCTGTCCCTGTGAGCGAGACTCATTGTTAAAAAGATAAGTGCAAAGGGTTACAAGTAGCAGGAGTGTTTGAAAATTTTCCATGTTTGTCCCTCCCTTTATTTATTTTTTTCTTTTTTTCCTGTGCTGGGGACAGAACCCAGGGCCTCATGCACAGTAGGCATGTGTTCTGCTAATGAGCTATACCTTCATTCCTTTTAAAATTCTATTTTGACACAGGGTCTCACTAACTTGCCCAGGCTGGACTCAACCTCCAGAGCAGTTGGGGTTACAGGCATGTGCCACTGTGCCCAGCTCTGATCACTTCTCACACATATCAATAATGCTATTGATTCCCAGATTGCCTTCCAGGTAAGCGCTGCTTACCAGTGATTTATATTTGAAATTTAACCTAATGCATTACCTGTATGCTTCTCAAACGTCAGACATTTGCCCCTCACCTTGATAACTTATATCTGAGAAGTATCTGGACAATTACTTATTTACTCTTTTCCTTTAAATCCATGTTTTTAAAGTATTGCTATACTATTTTAAAAAGCAACTTGATATACCGTGCAAAAAGAAAATTATGTTGTATGTCTAGTTACCACCCCCAAATTATGGTCTAGGTTATTTGAACCACCCAAAAATATCTCATGTGGCCAAACATCACTCATGCTGCCCACGGAGACACATTAGTCTGGGCCAATTTTCATTTCACAGCTACAAAATCAGAGACTCGGGAGCTTAGGAAGTTTGCCCTTGATCAAATTAATTATTGTCAAACAGGGATGAAATCTCAAGCTTTTTAACTTGCAATTTTCACTCCACCTTTTGCATGAGCTCTGGGCACTATAAGTGCTCATAATCTTTTATTTATCTTATAAACCTTGCACAGAAAGCTGTGTCACTGTGTGTAAGTAAGATAATAACTTTCATGACTAGTTTCCCATGTAGGATTTAAATCATTTGTTAGCCTTAAGTCACAGTTCCTTGTCAAAACTTCAGGTAATCCCACTTTATGGAAGATTTCATTTTCTTTTATGTAGTTTCTATTGTGGTATCAACAACACCAATCATGTACATTTTTTAAAAAATTGTTGAGCTCCATTATAATCTTTTTTGTTAAAGAGAGAGAGAGAGAAATTTTTTTTAATATTCATTTTTCGGCAGACACAACATCTTTGTTGGTATGTGGTGCTGAGGATCGAACCCGGGGCGCACACATGCCAGGCGAGCGTGCTACCGCTTGAGCCACATCCCCAGCCCAAATCATGTACATTTTTAAAACAGATAATTGTCATGAAATGTGTAAGGTCCTAGAAATTTGATAACTCCATTTCAATTGACCTGTTCTAAAGAAAGGCTCAGAGTACAATTAAAGGTTTATGTTTGAAGATATATGGCTGAATTATTTTTATAAGTGAAAAATGAAATATTTTAAAATCATATTTTCAAATAATTTCAATGACTTAGAAAATGCTCTTAAGATAATGGTAAGCCAAAAAAATAATATCAAGCTGTATTTACAGCTTGATCTCACTCAGGTAAAAAAATTAATACATGTGTATGTTTTTAAAACACAGGAAAATGTGCACTCAAATGCTGGTTATGTACAAGCAATGATTTAAATTATCTTATTTTTCATTTTCAATCATTTCCAAATATTCTGTAGTTAACAAATTTCATAACACAAGAAGAAAACAATTGTAAATGATTATCACTGAGTTCAATCATTAGCCTTAGCATTGGAAGAATCCTAAGTGCTCATCTGCCGTGCTCTAAACCCAGGGCTGAAGAACTCCTCCTGCAGTTCAAGCCATCAAGATAAATTTTAACCAGATAAATTAACCAGAAAATGCACGCAATTATTAAGACCATTCATTTCAGCTACTTCCAAATACATACTGACATAGGATACACAAGGTTGAAAATTAGAAGAGATTAAAAGAAAAGCAATGAAAACTACATGATTTCAATAGAATGCAATACTATAAGGAGAGAACACACAATAAAAACAAAAAGCTGACCCCAAACAATAATTTGCCAACAAATCAGGAGTGAATTTTATAATGAAAATCCTCTGATGAGAAATACAAATTATAAGGAAGAATTAAATTTATCCAGAGAGAAAAAAATCCTACCTTTCAGTCTGGCTTGGTGTGTGCCACTCAGCGAGGGACCAGCAGGTGTTTGCAAGACAGCAGGACTCTGTTCTCTGAACGTGGATGTGCTGATGGATTTATTGCCACCTGTTATCTGAGGATGCTCTGTGTGCCCTTTGTCCACAAAGATTTAATTGGAAACTCCAACAGGTTCCACTCAGGGCCTTAGCTCCCTGCGTCAAAGGCAGGTAGGCAGGGCTGGAGAGGGCAGAGAGAATAGCTTGCTGAGCGAAGAGGCAGGAGGCTGTGCTGTTTTACATCTGTGCTTATCTATCATCAAACCCTTTTAATTCTTGCCAGGATCAGAAAACAAACTGGAACACAAGATGGAAGCAGGATGCAATTCCTGTCCCCGCCCACTTAGTCAAAGGGGCTCCTTGTACCCCACTTTGCTTCCTGGAAAGAAACAAATCTTAGAAAACTTACAGGGGACAGGGGAAATGTGCGTTTGCCATTCTAAAGCCATAAAAATTCTACATCTCTAGTCTGTGTAAAGGCACAGGTTTTATACTACATCTTTGTATCCCAACACCAGCTCAGAGCCTGGCACATAGTGACCCCAGCACACCTTTCTTTCTTGTGTGGATGATTGGATGGACAGAGTGAGGTTGTGAAAGAGTGAAATCTATGGCAGCATAAGCTCACTGTGGGATCTTGGGGAAGCCCCATGGATCCATATTATTCTGACGTTAGGAGTCATAGTTGGGCAAGGAGCATAATCAATTCAAAAGAGCAAACACAACTAATGAGCAAGGGTGGAAGCAGAGGTTTCCACTTGTGGACCTGATGGGTCCTTCCTAAGTGTAGGAGTTAATTCAGAGACTTTCCATTTAGGGCTAAAAAAAAGAAGGCAATTACCTTAAAATGGAAATCTGCAGAGAAACAGGGAGAAGAGAAAAGAGCATTAGGGGAATGCATTACTCCTCTTGCTGCTGTCACAAGGTACTGCAAACTTGGGGACACAAAACAACATGCATTTATTTTCTTACAGTTCTGGAGGTCAGAAATCCAAAATAGCTGTTACTGGGTTAAAATCAAGGTCTAAGCGGGACTGGATTCCTTCTGGAGACTCCAGGGGACAACAGTTTCCTTGCCACTTCTAATTCCTAGAGGCCACATGCATTTCTTGACTTATGGGTTCCAGCTTCAAGGCCAGCTGCGTGCCATGTCTAACTCTCTCCCTCCTTCACTACCAAGGACCCTTGTGCTTACATTGGGTCCACCTATATGACCCCAGATAATCTTCCCATCTCAAGATCCCTCACTTAATCACATCTGCAACATCCCTTTACCATGTACAGGAACACAGTCACAGGTTCCACGATTAGGATGTGGGCACATCTGGGGTACCATTGCCCTGTGTGCCCCAGAGACCGTGGCACACTGGCTTTGACTCCTCTGTGGCCTGAGTATCTGCAGAAAGAGGTTGCTAGAGCTGGATTAATAATATATTTACTAGACTCTGAGAATGAAGCACTATCTGTTTGGAGTCCAGGTGACACTTCTTTCATCAGGCCCTCTCCACTCCAAGTACAGGATCTCTGGGGGCTTGGGGCAACCCCCAGCAGAGTGGAGCTGTGTCTAGTGGAGAAAAGCACCACGTGGGGGCTTGGCGTAGAGACCTCTAGTGAGGGAAAGCTGCTCTGAGACACCACCACACTAGGGGTGCCCCCAAATAATTGGGAAACCATGGTTTGGGGAACTGAAGACCTGAGTGAGAAGGAATAGGCAGAGAATTGTCGTACTTTAACATTAATAGAAACCACAGCAACAATGACAATGACAATAGCTATCACTTATGGAGTGCCTATGCCACTTCAGGCATGTTGCTGACATGTAACATGTAACATCTCTTATAGGTATATATGTATATTATATGTTATTTCATATATATTATAGGTTTTACACACACACACACATTTGTTAATGGTGCTTGTGTTTGTTCACAGGCAGGACAAACCTGGGGTGTCCTTACAAAATATTCATCCTGTAAATAATCAAAGCATTGTCTACTCAACAGGCATAAGCTCCCATCTTTGGTTAATTTTTTCATGTAAAAAATGAAACCAAAAGGCTGGAGAAATGAAAATTAATATAGACTGTTAGTAGCTAAGTAACATCTCAAGTGTCCAATTACAAAAAATAATTTTAGTATGTGGACTTGAAAGATGATCGTGTTGCTGTTAAAACGGAGAAAAAAGGATTATTATGAAGGCTATATATAAACCTGGAAAAATTCATACATAAACAAACACACATATTATAATTGGAAGTGATAAAGTAGAATATCAAACTCTATATACTTTTATAATAGAATACACAATAGTCCAGACGGTGGAAGCAATTCAGATTTCCCCTAAAAGATGGGTAGATAAGCAAAATGTGGGATGAATATATATATATACACACACACACATACATACATACATACATACATATATGTGTGCGTGTATGTATACATACATTTATATATATACATATATATATGGGATATATATATATACATGTATATATATGTATATATGTGTGTATATATATTTGTATATACATGTATATATATGTATATGTACATATATATATATATATATATATATATATATCCATACACACACATACACACAGAATGGAATATTAACCAGCCTTAAAAAGAAAGGACATTGTGACACATGCTACAATCTGGATTAGTGTTGAGGACATTATGCTAAGAGCATATTCTGTTATGTTCCACTTAAGTGAGGAAACTGGATTAGTCAAATTCATAGAAATACAATATAGAATGGTGGTCTCCAGGGTCTGGGCGAAGGGGAAATGAGGATTTTTTTTCAATACTGGGGGTTGAACCCAGGGCATTCTCCACTGAGCCACATCCCCAACCCTTTCTATTTTTCATTTGGAG